GGCTCATGGTCATCCTGCTGGCCACCATGACACCCAGCTCCCTTTCCTCTACGCTGGGTTTTGTGAGAGAAATTCCCATGAGGACAGGCAGCTGTCCTTCTAATTGGGACTCCCTCATTTGGGTGTAAACTGGCTGACCACAGGCCCTCCAGCCTGGCAATCAGAGCATCCCCTTGCAGGGTTCAGCCCTGACAATAAGAGTCAATACCAAAGGATGTAGCCTGGTGATAGCTTCAGCTCAGTTACTCCTTCCCCGCATTCACACCATCACCTGCCAAAACATCAGTACCCTGCAAAGCTTTGACCTTGGTTCCACAGCCTTGCCCCTCCTGGAGCACTACCCAATCCAAGCTCTTCAGAGCCTCATGTGCTGTGCTTCACTCCTTGATTTTTGGTAGCATTTCTACCTTTACAATATCAGCTGGTAATAATCATGTAGAAGCACAGAGGGACATGATCCCTCAAAACGCAAGTGATGCATTTTGTCTTTGGCCTGTATAGCTTCAGACCCATCTCTGTATGTGTCTCTGTGTGTACACAGACAAATGTGTGTGCACACACACACATGCACAAATCACTGTTCTGCCTCCAAAACTCTTTCCAGGCTGAGGATGGGAGTTTCTCTGGGTGGATCGTGGCAGGATGGGAGTAGAATATCTGATTTCTGCTTCCTACATGACATTAAGATTAAATGACAAACTGCACTTTCCTTTTATCCTTCTTTCCTTGCACATAACCTAGTTTTTAAGATCACAGAATCACAGAATGATTTGGGTTGGAAAGGATCTTAAAGATCATCTAGTTCCAACCTCCTTACCATGGGCAAGGACACCTCCCATCAGCCCAGGCTGCTCAAAACCCCATCCAACCTGGCCTTGAACAACTCTTTCAGGTAAGGGCTCCCTTGATCCCATAGGGTCTGACCCCCATACTCCTCCAGGTAAAGTCAAAATAGAAGCCATGACCCAAGAAGTTGGCTGTTGTTGCTCACGCTTTGGTTATCCTGTCATCCAGCTGCTCGTTCGATGTGTTCAGAATGCCATGCGTCTGAAGGCCTTGGCCCGATTTGTTAGTAAAGGTTCCCTCCAGAATGAAGCCATTGGCAAAGGACAATTTTCCCTGCAACGGAGAAATAAAGGGTTATTCTGCCAGGATCTCATTAGCGAGAGGAAATGAGCTGGACCGAGATCTCAAATTCTCTTTTCAACAGAGCCAGCTCCTGAAACGGCAACTAAGAACATCATCCAGCATGGAGGTGCACATTTACAGCATCCAAAGCAAGGGAGTCATTAAGGAGTCACTCACTGGAGAAAACATGTCCTAGCTATTGAACGACACACATAGGATTCTGGAAGGTGGAGACCACCACAGTCACAGAGTAAACCAGTTACATTATGTTTTACAAAGACCCAGTATCTTCTGTGAGTTACAAAATTTTCTGGCTTAAATTTGGTAATAGTTATTTCTAACCTAGAGTGAACACATGAAACTTCAATTTCTCCTCTGTTTTTCCTTTGCTTGTTAAAACCACAACCGAATTTGGCCTCACAGGTAAGGGCAACCACATGATGTTCACCATAAATGTTTTCAAGATGTTTGCTGCTACCAAGAAAAACCTTGAATTCTCTAAGGCAAATACAGAAGACATGCAGTAGCTTGACTCAAACTTACAAGTTTAATTAAATCTAATCCAAAGCCAAACAATATCGTAACTACTCTGGCTTTTAATACGAGCCTGAAATCCTCACTGCTAATAGCAGGAGGCACTTCATCTTTAGATAAAGAAAACAGATTTTTCTAGACTAACCACTAAAACTAAATATTCATTCTGGAGGCAGCAGTATCGAAGCACCATAATCAGGCTCTTCAAAATCCGCCCTGAGTCTTCTGACTGAAGATGATGATAAAAAAACTCCTCCTCCCATGAAAAGTCAGTAAATGACAGGGCTTATTTGTAATCGTTACCAAGTGTCTATTTTGACATCCACTCAGTCTGATACAACCACCCACTTCCTGTCAGACTCATCATAGACTTCTCTAATAAGCCAGAGGACATTGCAGTTTTCCCTGCAATGGGGCACTTAAAGAACACTTTGACCAGGTATTTCTGTTAAAGATCAACCACAAAATGTTAAACCTGTCAGCATAGTGCCCAGATTGCAAAATTAAGCTTTAGGAAGCTTAATTTTCATAGTCTCAGCTATGTTAACATCTCAGTTACGTCAGCGTAGCGCTGGTACTGCAACTCTGCTTGGTTTATACATCATTTCCTGCGTTTCTAAACATTACAAAGGCAGAAACATTTGTTCTAAGAACACAAAAGCATCTCAACTGTAGCTGTGAAACACAGCCAAAAACATCCCACAAAAAAACCCCAAAAAACCCCAGAACCCTCAGTGTAAAAACCAAAACAATGCACAAAGCCTCCAGCTACTTTAAGTGTCTCAGCTGTAGCCTTCCTTCTGTGAGTGAGACTGATAATAGACGAGAAAAAAATGCAAAAAAGCCTAGGAAAATGACTGGAGGAAGTGGATCAGGAGGGTATGAATTGTTAAGATTAGTCCATCAGGTCTCCTGGAAAGCAAGCAACTGTACAGAAAGGCTGAGATGAAGGAAGTGCTCACCTTCCCAACAAACGTTAGTTCTTCTGTGAAGTTCCCTTCATAGACAGAGTCATCTTCCAAGAGCAGAATCCCAGACCCCTTTATTTGAAAGCAGAATTAGTGAATTCATGGCATTAACTTCCTGCCTACTCAAGTTCATCAAGCAATAGCCACTGGCTTTGACTATTTATGAGCTGCAGATTCCAAGAACCTTTTTGAAAGCCCAATGTATCATTGCAATGCTCAGGAGAAAAGCACAGAGGTGCTCAAGATAACTTGAGGCATCACTGTACAGAGAAGTCCTGGGAAGTCAGGAGATTTTGAACAACAATATGACTGCATTCATCGCATTCATGGAGAAGAGAAGACTCCAGGGAGACGTTATAGGAGCCTTCCAGTACCTGAAGGGGCTACAGGAAAGCTGGGCAGGGACTTTTTGCAGTGACATGGAGTGATAGCACAAGGGGGAATGACTTTAAACTGGAAAGGGATAGATTTATACTGGAAATCAGGAAAAAATTCTTCACTATGAGGGTGATGAGGCCCTGGCCCTGGTTGGCCAGAGAAGCTGTGGGTGCCCCCTCCCTGGCAGTGCTCAAGGCCAGGTTGGACAGGGCTTGGAGCAGCCTGGGCCGGTGGAGGTGTCCTTGCCCATGGTGGGGTTGGACTGGATGAGCTTTAAGGTTCCTTCCAACCCAAAACATTCTATAATTCATTTCTGTAGAGGAAGGAACAAAAGGTAGGCTCCTGTGCTAAGGACTGTCACTAAGAGGGTCAATCTCATGGTTCTGCCAGTCTTATGACCTTTAGATGACTGTAACCAGTTGTGTCATCCTTTGCAAGCCAATTCAGAGAAAGGAGGAAGGCAGCTGCTATGTAAAATTAGCTTTGCCCCTTGCTGTGCAGTCAACAAGGCTCCTAAGCGTTCATTAAAGGACTAGTTCCATCACTTCCTAACTCCCACAGCTGCTTACAGTAGCACACAATTCAGGGAAGGAGCACCAAGATGCAAAAACAGACACAGGGTTATTTATAACAATGAGGAAAGATTCTTCTTGCTGGGGCTTAGCCCATGGTTTAGGGCCTGAAGGTTTGTAAGTACCCATACAAGCCAGAAAAACTCGGTCACTTTTAGAACCATAACACATTTTCCGCTGGAATGGTTTTCTTGATGGAAAGCGCCCTTTCTGGCAAAAATAAAAGGTTTCCAAGGGAAATTTCTTGGCCATACCAATTTTCCACTAGGAAAACTGAAGCGAGTGCTCCCCACCCGGAAGCCTTGTGAAGTTAAAGGAGCCTTTGGCAGCTGGCAGACCAAAAGACAGCTTTATTTTGGTTCCCCGCAGATGGAGTTTTTATGGAAAGCCCTTCCGACAAAGTTTCCATGCTAAACATTTTGTCCTAATTTGGTGAGTGGGGAAGGGGTTGTTTGTTTTCTTTTTAAGCACGTATTTTTTTATGAGAAGAAATGCTTTTCTTTCCAAGCCAGTTTTAGCAACGCCAATCCCTTTTACCTTCCACACCAACATCTAAACTTTCAATGAGCCGGACAGCCAACTTGTCATAGGTAAACTCACGTTGGAAAGATGAAGGTCTAATGTGCTCCAAAACAGAAGTAGTAGTATATTATAGATAGTATTATATTATATATAGTATTATAGATAGTATTGTATTATATTATATATAACTGCACAACACTTTACATATGACTTCTGGTCTATAATTGTGACCTGATGGTCAGCCAAACAGCCAGACCTATAAGGTGTCTTAGCATAAGCAAGAAGAAGTGACAGTCTCACATACACCTCCTACCTGCACCTCATAAAGATAAGAAACAAGACTTAATCTAGGCCTCGATCTTCAAAAACATTATCATAGTAAAATATCAGTGCTTAAGTTTTCTTACTTTTTATTTTCTCTCAAAGATTAATTATGAAGTGAAATCTTAATGTAGCCCTTGATGGGGAATTCCATGTCCCACTGAAAATGGGTACTCACCACCATTTTATCAGCATGAAATGTCCTTTGATAGCAGACACCTGACTGGGTTACTACAATGCCTTGTCCATGTCTGTGGTCATCAAGCCACGTCCCTATGTATCTCTCCCCTCTGGAATGTAATAGAAAACAAATTATGTTTTTTTTCCTCTGTTTTCTTAGATCTTAGTCAATTTGATGTATCACTTACTGAGGCTACTTTTACCCAATATAATACTCCGTGCAGCACAAGTACCAGATGTACTGCACAAACTCAATTCACATAAAGCTTCCCCAGGAGTTCAAGCCTTAAAGCAAAGGTTGAACACATCCCCCCTTCATTCTCAAGTCTCCCCATCAAAACAGGAGGCTTTACCCTTGCCAATAGAGTGACAAGACCATCAGGCACCCGAAGCCAACTCTGATCTACAGCACCTTTACCTATCTTTGCCTTCCCAGACTCCATATCCATTCTTCTTGTCATTTTCCCACTGTCCTGTGTATTTAAATGGATGCTCAGCCGAGAGGTTCTCCAGTATCCCAAACCCTTGACGCACATTGTCTTTGAAGTAACCTTTGTAGACCATATCATTCCCATACCTGCAGGTAGAGAGACAGACAGAATTTAGATCTGTGACTATTGGATAGCTACTATTGGAGAAGGAAACCAGGAAAGTGAGTAGATTGGACTCGCTGCTGAATCTGCCTGCTAAATATTCCAAATATTTGTCTGATCGCTCTGGAGCGCGTAGTTGTTCACTGTTAGGAATGTGCATCACTCAAACTAGTCACCCCACAGTTAACTTTCAACATTATCTAAGCACATAACACTTAGGCTTGCAATCGTCCTGGGAGAGGCTGCTCAGTCCTTGATCTCTCACCAGTCAAGTTGCAGTGACCACTTAATCCTGAGTGGATCAGATCAAGTAGGAAGTCAGATTTTCCTTCACCTTTCTATGCTTGCCAACCACTCCTTCTCCTGGGCTCATCCCCCTGAGACAAGATCCCCTCAGCTCTGTCCACACTGGCTAGTAGATCTTCACTGCTGCAACAGAGAAAGCACTTATGCTAAGCAGAGCTATCATCTATAACAATCAACATGCTCTCACATTTGACACCAGAGGCACCTGTGTCAGCACTACTCAGTTGGCTCCAAGTTCCCAAGGGGTTTCTGCATGTCCTATGCTTTGAGTTTCATTCAGAAATAAGGAGGAGAACATGCAGGTTGTAGGAAGGAAGATGGACTATCCGGAAAGCTGAGCTATGTGTTTTCCTCTGCCACAGCTGGCTTAGTGAAAGCAAGAACAAGTATGTGCAGTAATAGGCAATCCAGTCTCCACATTGGCCAACCCATTTGGCTACAAGCCACATGTAACCTAAGCAAAGACAGGGATGCTGTTGAGCTCACTGCTTCATAGACAAAGCAAGTTGGTCCTGTCCACTTAAACCTACAGGCTGCAAATGAAACCAATTTATTCCTACAACCTGTGGAGCAGGCCTCCGCTGCCATTTCTAGCCTTCTAAATGTAAGGTAGATGATGGGTAAGGCTGGGATACCACCATGTGCCCACAAGACAGTGCTTTACAGACTGGACTCCATCCAAATTCACAGCAGCGCTTTGAGACACAGGTGTGGAAATGACTGTTTCCAGGAATATTTTGACGAGTAAGAAAAAAAGCCTTAGACTCAACTTCTTAAGTTAAGCTCTGGGGTTAAAGTTGAGTGAGCAAGAACAGCAAACTGGGAGAACCAGCTCCCTTCAGGATAACAATTATGACTTCCAGACCAATGATCCCACCCATCATTAAGGAACCTACCCTATATAAGATATAGTTCAGACAGCGTGGCCAGGGGAGAGAGAGTGAGCTGCGTGCTCCACCAAGCCTGTCCATGGCACACCATGCCCTCTCTGCTCTCCAACCACAAGCATGAATGCAAAATTACATCCTCACCTGTAGGGCACAGGGGATATTAAGTCAGGTAGCTACAATGGTCATAGCTTGCAGAGAAGCTCTTACTCTTCTAATCCTCAGGAGACTCAGTACTTCTGAAAAAGCCATACTGCCCATCTCCAAAGCAAAAGCTTCTGGTGCCTAAATCACCCTGGCTTTTACACTGTGACTGTGAGGTGGGAACACATCACCCTTTAAATACATGGAGCCCCCTTTTTCCCCCCAAAAGCCCATCTTTGGGTTTTACTTACTCACAGATTCCATAGCCTCTCATCTTGCCCTCATGCCAGTGGCACTTATAGCAGTCATACCGGTCTTCAGATCGGCGTGGGACAAGGCAGATTCCAAACCTACAGGGTGCATATGGCAGAGGTCAGTATGGCAAAAGGCAACTCAGTTGTACTGGATTAAATTTTAAAACTAAGGGCCTTCCAGACTCCCAAGCTGATTTACATGGTTGGGGTCAGCTCCACCTCTGACACTATTTCCAGGTGTCAGTGCACTTGTTCCAAGGAAGAGCTCATCTCCTTGTGAGCTGCAGTCACAGCTCCTCATTGCTTCTTCTACAGAGCTACTTTCAGTGTTGGTGTTTTTTCACCTCTCCTCAGTTTAGGGGATGAGTTAGACTACCAAGGCAATTGCTTTGGTTCAAACAAATACACAAAGTATCTGAGATATTTTTTTCCCTTTAAAACCCTAAGCTATTCTGGAATTCATGTAGAAATAAGAAACTTAAAGTTTTACTTTCAGAAAAATTTAGAAAAATCATATTTGAACTTCGTAGTATGATTTCTTTGCTCTGAAAATTCCTCATTTAAGAGAGGTTTTTTAAGATACAAAATTTTTCCAAGGCATTACATAAAATAAATTCACCTAGATTTAGAGATCAGGGGTCAGATTCATCTAGCTGAATGGAAATATCTTCATCTGCCCACATTACTTTTATTGTAACCACAGTCAATCCACTTGCTCTGGTTTATAACATACTCAAGCTTAAGACAGCTGTATAAAATAGGTCAGATTAATAGAGTCCCCCAGCAAGATGCCATTGTCCTTGGACCTCTGGGAGGAACCATTTCTTAGCTTATATTGAAAGCAAAAAACACTCTGTTTTTCAAGGCTTACCCATGCTCCAAGCCCTCTTTGAAATCTCCAACATGGTTGCGTCCATCACGCCACTTCAGTGTCCCCCTGCAACATCGAGGGAAGCATTACACAAAGGAGATCACCAGCAACATTCACGGGCACAACCTAGAAATGGCCAACATCAAAATATTTCCTCAGGGGACTGAGACACAGAAGTTTCTCCAGGTATCTCTGAGACTTTAGTTTGCCCTGTAAGGTTTTAATACTGTAATGTTTTCATGCCCTAGAACTCCTCTTCTGAGTTCCCTAATCTCAAAAGCATTTTGTAGAGTTGCTGGATCATCCATTTAGGACCTTGCACACGATCCTGTTGTAATTGCAGTGCAACATGTGATTAAGCCAGCTGAAGTTCCAGCACGGTACAACCCCATAGACAACATAATGATACCATGGACCAGAACTTCATTGTGCCGGGTACTACGAAAACAAAAGAGATAAGCAGTGGCCTAAAGGGATGCTATCTTTCCATCTGTTTCGTGTGGGGGTTGTAGAAACCATTACATGAGGTAACAATGTAAAATGAGACTGGAACTATCAACGGGATGGTCAAATTGCTGCACACCCATGCCCAGTTGAGAAACCATTTCCCTCCCTCCCGGTCTCCCACTCCACCCACACCCACTCATCACTGTTTTAATTCTTGCATCGCTCCAGACACAGCCAGCTCCCGACACATTCCCCAACCAGAGACAATAGAAGATGATGTCGTTCCAAAACCATGACTTATTTGTTTGACTTTCACCGAGGTTGTTGCTTTAAACACCTACATGAGACAGTTTCTTTTTCTGGTATTTACAGGGAAGTGGTCAGATTAATTTTAAGCTACATCTCCTTTTGCTTTATTAGTATGAATGCTAGCAAAGGAGAGCAAGCCAGAGAGAATGCCTGCTCCAGCCATGGGGATGGCTTAAGTTACTTCTCAATGGGAGCATCTCCTCTCAGTGGGAGGGTCACCAGGAGTATTGAGACAGACCAGTGAAAAGCATAGATGTTTTTTTGCTGAAGAGCCCTATTTCACTCTGCTGCAGCTTTCTGCTCATATATTTTGCAATTCCAGCCCCTCTCTCAGGTGGATGACTTATCAAGGACAGCTTTACTGCTTTGTAACCTTGCACTAGTAGTAAGTCACACAGAAAAGTAAATGCAGGAATGGAAAGGAAAGCCTAGTAACTAAGTAATTAAAAGCCCAGGTATTAAAAGCATCTGAAGTCACTTAATTCTGCCACAGATTTCCTGGGATGCCTCAGTCAAGTCTCTTAATGTGAAGCAGCAGAGGTATTTATTAATCTCATTTCTCCAACCCTAATACAGGAGGAAACAAAGAGGAAGGAGTGGTGCTTGTCTCTCTGTGTCTGCACGCAGTGGTTTTCAGATCTGTTAGAAGTACAGGTGCTGGGGACGGTGGAGATGATGTAAAGGACTCTCTCAGGCATAGCTCTACTCTAAACACCTATTTAATGCTGTTGTGAGGAAGGCACAATCTCTTCCACAGAAGATTCAGGATTTGATTTTGAGTATTCTAATCATTTTGAGGCTCTTTCAAACCACGTCTCTACATCCTTTTTGCTTCAATAGCAACTGCAAACAAACTGTGTGAAACTCGAAGTATAAAACTTCCAAAGCAGCCTGTGTTGGTGTCTGAGGAGGTTAATCATATTTCTTCCCAAAAACAGTGACTGTGCTGTGTCCTTATGTCAAAGAGATTTTGAATGAGACCATTTAACCTTCGATTTACAGTCCATTCCCTTTTGGCAGAGCTCGTTCTGAAACATCAGCTGAGTTTAGTGAACAGTTCTCATGTTCCCATGAAGTGCATTTGAGCATCTTTTCTATGGTATTTTTTTTTAATTCCTTTGATAATAGTTTGGATGTTAAAACTTATTTTGATAGCACAGGATAAAACTCTCATTCACAAGAACAGGCTTTTTTTCCCCCCCCATCATGATGGTAAGATTTTATGCCTCAGGCTGAGATCTTAAACTTGAGCTGATGTTTAGTTTCAAGTCCTAATTACAGGCATAAGCCAATGTAGCACCTTCAATGTCATCATTAAATTATTATGGGCAGCCTCTGCAATTTACTGCATAACCCAGTATCACTAGCGAGACATCTACAATACAAACAGATCACATGCCAAGATTCACACTTTAACTAAGCCCTGAAATCAAGCAAATATGTCCCACCTACCCCCTGAATCTGTCCTCAGTACCAGATTTCCCTCTGGAAACAAGTAAGGCAGGAACCAGAGAGGCTGTCACATCCTAGGACAACACCAGCCCAGAGTCCGTGGTCCTGGCCTTCAACATGCAATGGATTACCCCATTTCCACAGCCACTCAGTGGCATCTATACCTCCAAATATGCATCCACTGGATCCAGGTAGTGCTACGCAATGACAGCAGGGCCATCATAGCATGTTCTTGCTTAGAAAAAGGGCAAAAAAAGGCTCCTTACTTGCCATGAGGCTTTCCCCAGTGCCACTCGCCCTCGTAGGATGCGCTCTTGAACTTGCCCTCCAGCTTGAAGACATAGCTGAAGAATCGGCAGGAGGGGGGCTCAGTGCCTTCACCCGTCTTGCCCCACAGTGGGAAATCTCGCTTCCCATTCAATGCCTGGCGGATAGCCTGGTTCAGCTTCCACTGCCAAACAGCCTGGGGACGAAGGAAGAGGAGTGCTGGATTAGTGAGTGAAGAAAGCACAACAGCTCCCAACCAGAGATACCTCAGGAGAAGCAACAAGAAGCTGTTGGGTTCCCATCAATTCTGTGTCATTCAGCTGGCTGGGCTGAGGAGTTATGGCCCGTTTACAACATCAGCAGGAGATGTTATCTTGCATGCTACAAGTTGGATACTGCACCAATCATTTAAGCCTGACTTTCACCACCACTAATTGGCCTTGGCATAGGACCATGCTGATGGGACTGTACTGTCCCAAGCTCTGCAGCATACATTACTGCCCAGGGCACAGCACTTCTAGCATATTTTTTATCTACCATCAATCGTCTAAGTCACCTCTGACCATCTGATGAAGTATTGGCTCCAGAGAGGAAAAACAAAATGCCACACTGCTTGTTATTCTGCTTTAATTAATAAAAACAGGCAAAAATCACAGGGAAAGTGCCTTGGCTGCGTTATTTAAGGAAATGCAGATGCCACTTATCTGTATTCTCATCAGAAAGGTAAAATCCTTAATGATATTTCAACTTCCACTCAGTAGTCAATGTTTTGCCCCTACTACAGAGCTGCCATCCCCTTTAAGCCATTCCCCAATTTCAAGGCTCATTACATGGTATTTCAGGTGAAACAGAAACACCCTGCCCACTGCTAACCTTCATCTGTGGGTCTTTGGCAGAGAGAAAGAATGTTTCTTCCGGGGTTATAATGCGGAGTCCATACCTGGGAAACAAAAGACATTACAGAGACTATGAAAAAAACCACATTTCTCAGTGAAACAGCAGTTCCTGATCTTCCCATGCCTCTTCAGAAGATAATGGTGCCTTTGCAGACAGTTTTTTTTTCCTTCTGAAAAAGTACTCGACTGGTCAACTCATCTTTGTTCTCTAGGTCTGCAGCCAAAGCCATTTTATTATTGGTCTCTTTCAAGATGTCAGCAAACACAAGCAATGCAAGTCCAAGCTGCTGTGATCCCCCTGAAGAAGTGTTGCAACTACTTGTACCCCAGAACCAATCCCACCACATGGAAAGGAGATGAAACAAGGTTTTAAATTGTTTTGGTTTCACAGTTAAGTTGAACACTTCTCCCCCCCCCCAACCCCTTCAAGTGGAAATTTTTCACTTACAGTCCTGGAGCTGATCTTTCCTTGCAGTTTTCATCTACCCACACAAGCTTCAGATCAAAACTCTGAAAGCTGTTTCCCTGCAACAAAAGGGACAAGATGTTCCTGTTTATTGATGTAAACATCACACTTTGGCCCCACTCTGTCAATCCACTGAACAGCAGAGCAAGTCTGGCAACACTACAAATTCCTTCTTTTCTGGTCCACACATCTACCCCATGCTACAACTGCAGACCTTAGAGGCTGAAGAAACGCTGGAGAAGGAAGAAAGTTCTTATTTTAACACTTGTAAGTGATGTTCTGTAATGTTATGGCTACAACCAACAGTAACAGACCTTCCTAGACAGCACTTACCTCTACAAGAATTTCTTCCCAATCACACAACATTTCCCAAACATCCCTGGTGCCAAGGTCCTAGTTTTACTTATGATCTATCTAGGATTTGTACACCAGATGGCACAGCCCATAGCAGCCCACAAGTACAACAATTAAGGAGTTCCTATTTTGATCAAGAGCACACCAAACATTAAAAATGAAAATGGTTGAAATATTAGATATATACTACATCTCCCTTTCTTGTCTAAAGTCCAGGTGCTTGCACTACAAAGCTGCTATCTCTAAGGATGTAGTTGGCCATGGTTAGGTACTAGCACTAAGGAGTTCACCACGAGTTAATCACCGATGTATCCACCAGATTTGGGGGAACAGGGAAGGGAAGGATGTTCAGATTCCCAGCACCAGAGCTCTCATCTGCCGTCTCCAGCTAACAGCCCAAGCCAACCAGTTCAATCTCAGCCCAGTTATATCTCCACGAGCCTCTGTAACAGTCATAGCAGCAGATAAGAGACAGTGGGTAGGAACCGTTGACCAAACAGAGATGTCTACAGTTTGGATATCTCAGTATGAGCTGGTTACCCTGTGCTCTCATCTGAGTCAATGAAGTTGAGGACATGATTCAACTCATCCTAATTTTGGTATCTAAAATAGGCCAGATGAACCACACCCAGACAGTGCATGTTTCTCTCCCCTGACTATAAAGGGAACCCTGGGGCACTTGCTCACAGCGAGATCACTACGGTGCTAAGAAATCTACAATGTAAAGTCAAATGAAATAATCACCTCCCTGTTTCCCCAGGCCTAGACCTTGCAAGCTGTGCAGGACTGCCCAGCATTATCATAAAGGGCTCATGTTTGGAAGGGGCGTAAGATCTCTCAGCCCACAAGGCAGTCATGTGTTTGGACACCTGAGGGGCTGGCACATGACTCAAGAGCAAGCAGAGAGGCACATGAAGAGAGCCCTGCTAGATTACAGGAGCTGTCAGTCAGAGCAAGCCAAGCTGGACATTGTCAACACACTGCAGAACAGCTTTGAACATATATTCTTCATCTAGCTATCCCCGGCTGTAGACACTCCCTGTCTGCCCCACACCCAGGTCCTAAATACCTGAAATAGCCCCAAGAACACCTGCAACTTCTGCTTCCGTGCCACTAGCAAAATCAACCAAGAAAGATGATAATTAGTCCTATGAATGAGTATTTACAGTATAGTATATTTGACTCATCAGGCCCCCTTTGAATAAGTAAGGACAAAAGTCAACAAATTCATATGCAAGCATGGGCCTGGGTTACTAGAAAGATGCCTCTGATGGTTGGATACTACATATTTAACTGGGGAAAAAGTTACATGGATGCTTCTCTATTCCTTCTTCATTAGACTTTCTTTTATTTTCCAGTGTAAATCACACGCACACGGATCCGGGACAAGATTTTGCCAACAGCCACTGTCTGCTGCATTTTCAACATCAACGGAACCTGAATTCCACTGTCCTTTATCTGTGCTGCCCTCCCAATCCCTCTTAAATATTGAGGACTTACCTGAATTAACACAAGGACATCATCGAAGAGCAAGATCCGATCTGATCGATTTGTGCTGGAAGAGATGGGCAGATTTTTGCTATCTTCCAGCAGCCTCCTTTCAGGTACACAGAGTATGTCCTGCAGAGGAAACCACAGAGGTCAAGATAAAAGCATCATGAAACATCAGGATTTTGGGAAAGGATATATATCTCAAACCAACAGTTCCTCCAGAGACTGACTCATGACACAAGCTGACAGCGACAGCAAAACTGGATACAAGGCTCAACTTCTAAAGCACTCAGTGTCCATATGGCTTCTCCAAGGCTTCCACACTACCCTGCTCTAGTGTTTTCCAAGCCAGGCCTCAAATGCTTGATCCATATTCAACTTCCTCCATGTGTAAGCAGAGATATAAGACCCCCAAAAGAGCTCCCCATCAAGCCACTTTCTACATCCATGACTCACTGTGAATTTGTAGCCCAAGGATTTCCATAAGGACTTGGTAAAACAAGCTTCATCCAGGACTTGACTGATGAAAGACTCCAGCTTCACATATTCCTTGATGGCACTCGTAACCACATCCTTTTCAGAGCTCTGATAAAAGAAGGCAGGGTTTGAGCAACGCTTTAGGCACAGCTGTGCAGGACATCTACTCTGAGCTACAGCTGCAGAAAAGCCTCAGCAGTTCTGAATCCAGAGTTCATGAGAGTTAACCCTCCAACCCCATTTCCAAGGAAAGCCTCCCAAATCTGACATTATCTCTGCCACCAGCAGAAGTGTGCAGCCTTAGGCCAGTTACTTGATCCTTTGCGGCTGCTTGACACATAGTACATAGCTTGTACTATGCTGGAGTGGCCACTGTTAATTGCTTCAAGACCTTCAGGTGGACTGCACACCACTGGTGCTGATTCCAGCTGGAAATCCAGCCAAATTTGGATTCAGTGACACCATCACAAAGGTCCACCAGCCCTGCATAAAATTTTATCATAAGCCAGTCAAGTAGCATCACATAAAGCCTCCTACCTCTTTGAGAACCTCATTCAGCTTGGTAAGGAGCAGTATATATTGCTCAAGGTGATCTCGGATAGGTTTGTGAAGAACAGTGTACAAGGCCAGTGACATAGAGGTCTCGGAGGTGAAGTCTGTGAGGAATTGTTTCAGCACTGTTTTATGGTGCTTCCAAGCTTCACTGCAAGATGGTGAATGAAGACAAAAGTTCATTAGTCAGTTTTTCTGCAAATTGTCACTCTTCTGCTTCAAACTTTGTATGCTACCTTACTCCCAGAGAGGGTATAGAATGACTTGAAGAAGCAGGAGATAACATAATGCAAATATATTAGCACAGCAGACACTCAGAAATAAGGCAATGCAGCAAACAAGAGCTCCATTCATCCCGTCTCTAACCCAGTGGTCTTTGCAAATAGGAACCACACCCACAGATATACAAAATATAGCATGACTTTCACAATGGTACACCAAGAGGGTGACTCAGTTGAAGTGGCTGTGAATCTGCTCATGTCTAGCCCTCATGATTTCATCTGATGTTTCCATGAGACTCTGACGACATCTGAGACAAGCAATGGAAATTCCCTGCTATATTCCCACATCATCCTTTCTCAGGTCCCAGCCCTTACCTGAATCCCCAAATTTACAGGCTTCCTCTCCTACAAAAGGAGTTGTGCATGGCTAGGAAGTGTTGGAGCGAGATCTGTAGAGAAAACCTTTCAAAAGCTGCTGTCAAAAGATGGCAGGAGCAGCCAGCATGGCCAGGTCAGAGGAGAAACAGTTGGACTGTGAAACAAAGGTCAATGCAAGTTGCAGAGCTTGGTGCTGCTCACTCCAGTTTAGTTTCTTAACCCATACAATATCATTGTGTTCCCATCAGCATCTTCAATAAACATTTTTCTGGCCACTCACCTTTTGCTCTTCGTGGCATGTTCGAAGCCGTGGACTACAACGTAGTTTGCAAAAGTGACGAAGTATCTGTTGGCAAGAAAAAAAACAACACACACACACACACGAGCTGAGTTAGAGTTACCTCCCTGGCAGTGCCCAAGACCAGGTTGGATGGGGCTTTGAGCAACCTGCTCCAGTGGGAGGTGTCCCTGCCCATGGCAGGAGGTTGGACTGGATGAGCTTGAAGGTCCCTTCCAACCCAAACCATTCTGTGATTCTATGATTAGAGATGCACATTAGCTATGAGATTTAAGCAACAGGGGGAAAAAGCTCATTTGAAAAAGTCATGTCAGGTCCACCTTTCCAAGGGAGGCAGAGACACATAGCTACTGTGCTTCTCACCTTGGCTCACTCCCCTTTTGTCCCCTTTGCCAGCCTTGTTGACTTTTGCAGTAGTATCAGCACAGGGAGTTTAAATCATCCTGGCATTTAGCATAAGCAGAAGTAAACTTGGACAAGTGTCCTGGAAAGCCAGTCTACAAGGGCTGAGCTTGAGATCAGCTTTGGATATATGGTTTTCTGCTGGTAGAAGTATAAGTATTAGTATTACTGATGGTAAATTCAAGTCAAAGTGTCCCACGTCAATGCAGCTTGTCACACACTAGAGGGAGATCGAGCCATATTTTCTCAGCAAATACCACGTTTTCTTCCAGTAGTGATTTTGGAGAAGTTGTGTATTCTGACCAGATTAATTAACATTCATTCAGTCTTTCAGGAACACGTATTTACTGCTGGTTTTCAGGCCCTTGAACAGGGGCTTTGATTCTTCCTATACCATTCCCGTAAGCATTCAACGTTGTCGGATCAGGACTGCACAGAGTGAGTCAGCAGAGGTGGGAAGAAACCACAGAATCACAGAACGTTAGGGATTGGAAGGGACCTCAAAAGCTCATCCAGTCCAATCCCCCTGCCGGAGCAGGAACACCCAGATGAGATTACACAGGAAGGCGTCCAGGTGGGTTTTGAATATCTCCAGAGAAGGAGACTCCACAACCTCTCTGGGCAGCCTGGGCCAGGGCTCTGTCACCCTCACTGAGAAGAAGTTTCTTCTCCAATTGAAGTGGAACCTCCTGTGTTCCAGTTTGTGTCCGTTACCCCTTGTCTTATCATTGTTTGTCACCGAGAAGAGCCTGGCTCCATCCTCGTGACACTCACCCTTGAAATATTTCTAAACATGAATGAGGTCTCCCCTCAGTCTCCTCTTCTGCAAACTAAAGAGACCCAGCTCCCTCAGCCGCTCCTCAGAAGGGAGATGCTCCACTCCCTTCATCATCTTTGTAGCCCTACGCTGGACTCTCTCCAGCAGTTCCTGTCCTTCTTGAACTGAGGGGCCCAGAACTGGATGCAATATTCTAGATGTGGTCTCACCAGGGCAGAGTAGAGGGGGAGGAGAACCTCTCTGCCCTACAACCACCCCCCTCCTGATACACCCCAGGATGCAATACGCCTTCTTAGCCACAAGGGCACACTGAATCAGTTCTCAAGTGACCAGCACACGCTGCTTTAAACTCCATAAAGGCAGGCTTCTTGTGCATCACTTTCTGAAATGATGCTGAGTAAAAACAAAAAACACAAAGCAGCTCTTCCTTCCTCCTCATGTGTTATAACCACAAAAACCAAGACTAGATGAACGGTGATGTCCAGGAGCCATCTCCCATTCCTCCACGGGTGCCAAACTGCACAGACAGTACAAGGCCATCTGGCAAGGGCTTGGCCACACTTGTGGCCACTGTGATGAATGAGGGGTTGAATGCTGTCTGATTTTTATGTCATCTCAGATGCCCATAAACCATTTTTCATGCTAGGACATCAACATACAGGTTACACACACTACAGTGATTTTGGTAAAGATTTTATTTCATGTTGCAGACAGATGGGGAGCAGAAATAATTAATTACAGAAACAGCAAGAAGACAGGATGTTTTTTGCATCACGCCACATCCATCACTTGCTGTCATATCCCTTGCCAAAAGCAAAAAAAATGTGGCATAAACAGGTAACATGAACTGTGTCTGCTGACATCTTCCTCTCCTCATCCCTATGAGTCCTTTAAACCTGCTTGTGCATGCAGTTTTCTTCCTGATGACATCCCAAGCTTTGCTCTCTTAAATTCCCCAGGCACAGATTCTCCCCCTGTCCTCTTCCCATTTTCTAAGATGCATTTAAAAAAATCCCATACTCACAAGAAAAAGAAAAAGCTGCCTCTTAGAAGCATACTCACAGTTACAAAAAAGGCTTTTTATTATGCTGCCTGCACAAACACTGTATTCTGTAGCACTTGTCCTGAGCACTGAATGCAATCACTTCCCTGGCTTAATGACCAAACACTAGTGGACACGGCTGGACAAATTAATTACACAAATTAACTGCACCAACCTAACAAGTAGTTGATAAATTTGGTCCCTCACTTTACCCAAAAATGTTTCTGTACTTACTGGATGTAGAGGCTTAGAAACAGGTCTCCTTTCCAGACAGTGTAAATGTCCTGGATGCAGAAGGACTCCGAGGTGCTGCATTTTTGTTTCAGTATCCGGTGATTTTCTTCAGTGAGGTTCCAGAGAGCTTGAAATCGATCATTTAGGAGCAAGAAGAGCTTAAAATTCTCCTTTCCTTTCTGGTCACTAGGCTCTTTGAGGAAAAGACGGGAAGGAAAAGGCTATCAGAAAGCTTTGACTCCAAGAAATCTTGTGGAAAACATTGCCTATACTTAATATGCAGCCCATTTTTTCAGTGTGAAACATAAATATTCTTACAGAAAAACAATGCCAGGGCAGAAGGAGGTGATGATCATGGTTGGGTCCTTGTGAGTACTTGCATGGAACATCCATGCTAAGGTTTTGTCCTTCCCGTTCTGTGGAGCTTGTGGTCAGGGCAGTCTGCAAGACTCAGCCCCAGCTCAGCCATGAGCACCAGAGGAAAATTTTCTGTCTCTGGCCCAAAGAGCACTTCCCAGTCTCCTTGGAGGCTGCACGAAAAAGGCAGTGGCAAAAGAGGAAACAACCCTACGGGCCTAATCCAGTCACACCACTTTCAGCCAGACAGGCTTGTGAATATTTATATAGAATTGTTATTTCAGTGGATCTGCTCTGATTTACTGCCAGCTCAGAACCTGCACCCACAAGTTTTGCTTTCAAAGATGGGCATGATCATGGCCTGAGAGCATGGAGGCAGAACGGACATGGTTTAGGGGTTGCATGATCATGGACTGAGAGCATGGAGGCAGAACGGACATGGTTTAGGAATCACAGGTATGTGAGATGGATTTTGGATTTCCATACACCATGCTGGAAACAAACCTCAGAGCGAGTGTACAGGGTGACACTGGTTAGAAACTGGATTAAGCTCTAAAACCAATAGAAACTACAGTCCTAGGCTTGAATGAAAGGTCATAGGCATCCTTAAAAGCTCACTATCTTAAGTGAAACCACTCTACATACCACTTACTCCAGCAAACCAGCCTCCAGCAAGTCCTCAGCCACGGAGTTTCAATTATAATTCCCTTCATAGGTGTGCCAGTGACTGAAGGCTAGAAATACAGACAAAAAAAAGTAGTCTTTGACCTACCTGATTGCAGCAGAGGCTTGAGGATGAGGGCATCTATCCGTGCCAGGCATGCTGAGAAGGTTTCTTCAGCTTGGAGCAGAGATGCAGCTGCTTCAGCTGTGCACATGTCCTGGACACAACACAGAAGGCACACATAAGCTCCCTTGCAGGAGTATCCATCTACCAAGGCTTCAGTGCTCATCAGCCTTTCCTGCTTTGGACAGCACACACAGGTGTAATTGCTGTCCCCAAAAAGTGTTTGAAAATGTTAGAAGAGGAAACAGAAAACCACTAGCTCTACATGAGCTGGCGTCTCAGAAGACCACCGAGGCTAAAGCCCATTTTCCTGAAGCCCCAGTTGAAGATCTTCTCAGGTGGAACACAATACCTCTTCCACACAACTGGAAAGGCCCTACACTTCTTGATATGTATTAATCCTGCTTAGAGCTGGATTTGTTCTCCCAGAAGAAATTCCCTGAAGTACAAGGAAGCACAGAGCACCTCTTCCCATATCTCTCACCTGTTTGCTGCCCGGGTGCCTCAGCCGACACCTTTTGGCATTAAAAGCTGTTGGATGGAGCTGCAGAGCCGTGCCAGCCATGCCCTAACATCCAACCTTCCAGAGGAACAGAGATTTGGTGTTACTCCTTTCTGAGTAGGACACCGCACTGCTGGTTACGTATCACAACTGCTGCGTCAACAAGGAAAGCTTGCCTAAAGTGGAAGTGAGCAGCACTTAAAAAAACAGGCAGCAAGCCCACGTGAGCAAACTCCAGCAGCTTCCTCCTTCCCAGCCTTACCTCCTAAAAGAAATGGATCAGAGGCAGCGAACATAGACGGCTCAGAGACAGTCATAAGAGACTACTCTGGAAAAAGGATCGGTGGTGAATATACCATGGGCAGAATCAGCTGACGTGACTAACAGTGATACAAAAGTGAGATTCTTTCAACTTCAGGAAGCAGAACAGCAAACTCAAGGGACCATGTAAGGTCTGTCCACATTTCTCCTTAGCCTGGTTGTAGTGCATGCTCAAAGACTACATTCCCAAGAGTAAGCAAATGAGAATATGGCATTATGCTGCAAAGATTTACATTGCTAAATTGGTGGCAGAGACTTCAGCACAGTTTTGGTGTGTGCCAACTAGCCCCTCTCCCAAGCAAGGCTCAGGCATGGTCCAGGGATTACTTGAAACAAGTAGCTTGCACGGAGTCATGCTGTTCTGGGAGGTAAAGCTATGTATGGGATATGCCATAACTACTTAGCTATGGAGATAGACCTAATTTATTTACTAATAGATTCTTTGCACTGTCCTCAGGATGAGCTGAACTCAAGCTATCTGCTGGTGGCACATTCTAAGACATCCTAAAACTCAACCCTGATTACTACAAACAATAGGTGAGACTCATTCTCCTTGTGTTGAGATGTTGGGCAGTTAGACATAGAAGCCTAACCCTACCTCATACTTCATGGGAAGAAATACCTTGAGTATCACATTATGAACTATAAAAGGGTCACCTGGGTGAAGAGACAAAGTCACTAGGGAGAAATGTCTTATTTCTAAGCTACACACATGAGTGGATTTCTTGCTAAGTAAGAGCTTGAGCTCCCTAAAGTCACCGAACTCTGCTTGCACAGTCCCTTTCCAGGTCATCCTGGAGCTTGGGCTGAAATGGTGTTTGAACAAGGGTTTGCTTTGCAGTTTAAATCATTACTGGTTTTAAGTGGTTGTTCAGATCCAGACACAGCTGACTGCACAGATGAACAACAACATTTTCTCCTTAGTAACCGCCGCCTCTTAAATTTCATTTGCCTGAAAAATGGGAAGCATTAAAAAACTCCATAATCTCATTAGTTTGCAAATTTTCCTACATTAAGGTCTGCATGACCAGAAGGCTATTTTTTTGCAGGAACATTGGTGATTCGTCCCAGAGGAAAGCTCTAGGCATGCAAACAGGTCAAAAAGCTGCAATCCAGACTCCTCCTGGCCCCTCCCAGGGCCGGCAACTAAGGCAAGCAAAAAAAGGCAAAACAAAATAGCAACCAGGCAGCCCTCACCCCAGAGCACCAAGAGGACACCGCAGTTCTAAACGTTTCTTTTTCGCCACCGCTTAACCCCTTGTCTCATAGGCACAAAGATAAAGTTGTTTCTCACAGGTCTTAGAGAGCGCTCAAGCTTGGTACAAATTTCTAAGCGTAAGTAGCATGCTTAATCAGTGAGTAAAATCAGGCTGGATATGTGACAGCATTTCATTTTCAAATGCTTAAAAGAACAGCAGGTAGTCAGTGCATCGTATTAGGCTCACAAGTAATAGTCTGGTTGGTTTTATTCGTTTGTATTTTTTAAGCCTGACTATTCTGTCTATTTTTGAAGAAGGGAAGACTATTCCATCATTTCAGAGCAGCTGTGAGAGACTTATCCTCCACCTGGTCCTTATTTAGTCCTGCAAGATAATGTTTTATCCTGTGCAAAACAAAAAGAACGGGTGCTAGATGCCAAACTCAGAAAGTCTGCCCCAAACTCTTTCTCAAAAGAACTGGAGAACACACCCATTCATCACAAATAGATGGCTTAATGTAAACTGAATTACTCAAACCAAGTGTGCAGATACCCACAGCTTTACACCACAGGACCATAGAGCAAAGGTCCCTCAGGGCTGAAAAACACCACAAGAACATCACAGCCCCAGCCTAAGTGTTATTTGGTTACTTCTGTAATGGTCACCTGGACAAACTATGTACGTCCAAGGTGGATCTACTGATCTAGATGTGGCATTGCCCTTTCCAGCCACAAGCTGGTCCCACATTCTGCCTCCTGCCCATCTGCAATCCTGGTTTGTTGAGGGTCTGTTACTTATGAAGACCTGAGCTCAGACCTTACAGAAATGACCCCAAAGCTTTCCCATGGTGAATATGTGGGTTGAGAAACTCCTGCAGTGGCAACACTGTACAGATGTCCAACCTAACTCTGCAAAAAAATCAGAAGCATTTGGATGCTCTTTCCTATTATAAACTGATACAGATTTAACACAATGTTTTGGGTTGGGTTTGGTCTTGTTTCTTTTTCTTTTTAGCAATCTCGTTCTCACCCTTCCTGAGAAAATCTGTGGGCTCCTCCCAGTCTGAACATGACAGTTGGGGATCATTTGCTGAATGGGTGAGCAACACCAGTTAGCTTTCAAAACAGCCCTTCCGGCACCACGAAAAGACCTAAGTTGCCACATCACATCACATCGCATCGCATCACATCATATCGTAAGGTAAGCATGAGTTTCAGCCAGCATTTCCAGACTTTCCCCATCAGTGCTGTGAGAACGACATTTGCACACTTGTTCTAGCCCAGTCAGGCAAAGAAGATTTGAAGTTCGTCACCCAGTGAACAAAACCAATGCTGGCTCAGCCACAGAGGGCAAAGGAAACCATCGGGACTGGCCAAGGGCACGCAGAGGTCATGTTGTGAAAAACTGAATGCAAACTGCAGTGCCATGGGGTGATGGGAGGGCTGAGCTGAAACCTGGGGCTGTCACATGCTGTTTTCTCCCGGCTTGGGCACAGCTTTCATGAGACTCAGTGATTTTGTAATTCTGTGGTTGCTCCATGGAGGGCAAGCCAAGCTTGAGCAGAACCGGGCTGAAGCCTGTTCACAGGGTTTTAGTGCCTGGCTCAGCTGCTAGGAAGTCAAGACCTTTGAAGATGCTGCACTCCTGATGGCCACAGTGGAAGGAGGTGCACCTCCAAGGAAGGGTCCCCTAGCTGCACATAACCTGTGCACATGCAAAAATCAGGAAGTCTACAGTATTTGAGGATGGACTTACACCGGCAAAATAAAACAGCTGCCAAGCTCCCATGAGGAATGGTGATATCTTTCTAGGAGAAGATTTTCTGAAGTATAAGACATAGCTGTTTCTTCTCCCTACATAAAGCTACGAGAAAGCTGTACAGCACAGCTCTGTAATTAGAGAGGGGACACACAGTAGTATTCATGTAGAAACAGGAAAAAGACCTGGAGAAACAACTTCTGTAGGAGTCACTGCATCTCTGTGGCTCATCACTGTCTTGGCTCATCCACCAAACATGACAGCATGGGCAGAAAAATATAAAGGTGATGAAGCAGCTAATACCAACCTAAGTTGCTGCTGAGCATCCAACAGATGGGAGCAGGCTTCATCCTCAATAGGGTCTGTCCAAAGCTGCTAAATGCACATTTCGGCAAGAAAATACATGTCTTGAGGAACCACAACAGATTGTTATACCCATTTTCAGGAAATTGCCAGAAGGGTGGGTAGAGCAGAGAGGAAACCAAGCAAAGAGGTGTTTTGATGGAGTGGTGAGGCTCATTGTCAGCTTTGCATAAAACCTCTGTCTATTTTGGAGTCTGTAGCTCTGAGGCAGTTCTTCCACCAGGAAAGCGTCTGGAAAGCCCCATAGATTTCAGATGTGACACGAAATTTCTCATGGAAACACACATCTAGTCAGCCTTATCATATCCCATACAATAAGGAACAAACGGGACATCCACAGAAGGATTATTCATTTTTCCATCTTCCTCTTGTGAATCCCCCCCTGTGCTGAAGTTAAAATTATCAGTCAATAAAAACACTTCTCAGAAGGGAGAAATCAGTCTTGAAAATACCGGATTTAGGAAGCTCTTAGGGCATTTTAATACTAAACCACTTGTGATGTGAATGCCACGACCACGTTTGCTATAGCCTCTCCTCACCTTAAACTCTTCTCTTTCTCTGCATCAGCATCCTAAGAGGCATTGCACCTTTGCAGCCCTTCCAATCTCATCCATTCCTGCAATTCATGACCTTTCTACTACCGACTGCCTCAGAAATGAGGCAATTCCACCATTCTGTCACGTACAGTCCTCAAATAGGCCAAATTTTCCCTTGAGAGGAAAACTCTGAGAGGCAGACAGGTTATTGCTGCCATGCAGCTGAAGAGGTACCGCCTACTACAGCCCATGTCAGGTGAGCACATCATCTTTGCAGAGGCAAGGATAAAGCTGCTTTAATTCAAGCTCTACTTCAGAGGTAAATGAAAGCCTTCCAAATTGAAGCCAAGAGGTACTAAAGATACTTCTCTGCCAGGGTAAACCTGAAACTCTTCCTCAGATACTGCTTTTC